CGCATAGGGCTTTGGTTTCGGACGACGTCACTCTGTCGCTCGGTCGTCGACGGTTCCTTTAGAGTTGATGGCCACGCTGAACTTGATGGACCTCCACTTCCTTTTCAGGTTTCCTTACCTGTACTCTTAGGAATTGGTAACCTAGGCCGGCGTGTGGCACCGCTTTCAGTTCAGTACACCCTATCCTAAGTGTGTGCGTCAACTCCTGTTTCCAAGGAATATGACCACACTGAGGGACTTTCATTTGTACAGAGCAGGGGCTAATGAGTCCTTGTTGAAACCTTCTGTTGACTGACCCTTCACTTTTACGGTTCTGCAAGTCAAGCGCCAAGTATTCAGCAACTAGCACACGGGGATGTCACAACTGATACAGCTCTTGCGAGCATTGATCTAAGTGTGTCTCGCAACAGGGTCCCACTGAGGTCTGTTGTGTGATCCCCGCCGAGGGGCACGTCTTGCATATGCCCTTAAGGGTGATCCTTGACTGATGTTTCGTTCTTGCACGACCATTGCTGATTCAGCCGGCTTCTCGAGAATGCTGATCATAATATCCGCAGGGCCTACTGAATTTCCTCCAGAGAATGACATACCATGCTGCTAAGTATTCACTTTAGGACACGCCGCTAGATAATCACTTCGGACATGTCCTGCTTTTCTTCTTTCTGTTGCTCTTCGTTTTCTAGGTCTTTCTTCTTTGCTAAAGGCTTGATCAGGATTAACTGAAAACCCTGCGACTAAGTAAGTGTGTGTGTGTGTTTATGTGGCTCAATCGCCAACCTCCGCGACGTATCTCGGCCTGCCGCCAGGGCCACAGGCTTGAACCGCCCCGGGAACTGCCGGCAAATGTCCAAGGTTTGAGTGCCAATGCCTCGCAGCGGTCCCGGAAGCTTCTTGTTACTACAGGTGAAACGATTCCCAGTGAAACGATTCCCAAGGAACCTTCTAGCTACTAGTAGCTTCTTGTTACTAGATGTTACTAGTAGCTTACAGATTGGCAGGATGTGCATGGATCAATGTC